AATTAACAGGAACACTTCCCACAGAAACTAGCCTGCATGTGCAATGAAAGGCTTTCCCCATCCTGAAACGTGAATATGAAAGTAAACAGTGATGCTCTGGGTGCTGAAACAAGGATATGAAGGGATTCACCCCAGCCAAATCAGAGCATGGCTCTCTGACTGCTCTGATTGCATGGGTAAGAGCAACCTAGAGCAAGAGCACCCTGATTCCTTGCTAGACACAGTAAGAAACTGCTATAACACAAATACATCATCTGTTGACAAACATTTGCACCTGTAATGCAAACTGACTGATTTTAGAAACTTTTTGGAGATTTTAAATATCATAACAGCAGTGCTGATCCTTGTTGCACAAACCCTGTTGCTTTAACATGTGATATCTATGTACCTCTGTACATGTTACTATACAACAAACATAGTTATCCACTATTTGCCAAAAATTAGAAATGACAAGAAGAAGAAAAAAGAGGAAAAAACCCTAAAAAAGAGATAGAAAAGGAAAAGGAGTAAGTAAAAACGACAAGGAAAAAAGTAAATTCAGGGAAATTATGTCCCCATGTTCCTCTTGCTTGAGGGAAAACTATCCAGAAAGTAGTTGATGCCTAGACACACTATCAACAGTACATCAAATTTAGGGGGGTTAAGTGTCAAGGCTCAGTCTTATACAATATAGTGTAACTTGATCCAGATCCAGCAAAGCAATTGGACCAATGTTTAATTTTCAGCTTGTGAGCAATGCCACTGAAGGCAAACTTCTTGTGGCTTTAAAAACAGAAGATATTTTATTTCCTTAAACTCTTTCTTGGGTAAAAAGGAGGTTTACTGCTATGTTAAAATACCTAAAGATCCTGATTGAAGTCTCAAAAATACTTTTAAACATTACTTTAGAGCCCTTGCCCTGAATTAAGAAAGAATTAGTTTGGCTCTGGTTTCTTAAATTCATAAAATGATCAGCAAAATCTTTACTCAAATCGCTTGGCTTATATTTACAGTTGTTTTTTTTTCACAGCCAAGAGGGCTCAAAACATTTCAAAATGTGAATACAGAGACTCCTGTGTTGCTGATCTTGTCTCTGGGAGCTGGTGTTAAAAAAAACAAACCAAAAAACTAAGGTTCATAAAAGCATAAGAATTGTTGATTTTGAATATACTCTGCACCTTGTTCATTTGAACCTCCTGAGGATTTTACTGACTGAAACACACCAGGATTACTTCCCTCTCCTTCTGGGGGATGTTTCTGCAACAGTGCAAGCCCAGTTGGAGAACTGCAGCAATGAAATGTTAACTCAATCTGGATGAAGAAAATCTGCTTTACTTTCCCTATATCCTCCATACTCACTTTTGTCCCCACACTTTGCAGTCTCTGCATTTCATCTCACTTAAAATATGACAGCCTCTCTCTGTTAGAAGCAGTTGCTTGAGAAGCCCTGAGAGGAGATCACTCTCCTGCTGGCCACAATGTGTGGTGCTGAATGGGAGGAAATGAACTTCAGCTGCTAAAACAGCTTCTTCTGGAAACTTATGGGAACCAGGTCCCAAGATTCTCCTATCTGATTTAAAAGCCCTTTTGTAAAGATATTTATCTAAACATTTTTAAACAGATATTTTCCTTCATCCCTGAATTGAGAATAAAAAAATCTGATAAAAAAAATACACAGGCTACATGCCAAAGCAGAAGCAATATTCATTGGCCTTGGAATATAGTTCTTTTACTGGAAGCATTTCAAAAATAAGGACCATGGCCATCACAAAAAAAAAAACCAAAACAACAAAAAAATCCCAACCAAACAAAATACCCAGACCTAAACAAACAAACAAATACCAGAACCAAAACAAAAAACCCAAAACCAACCAAACAAAAAGGCAAACAAAAACAATCAATCAAACAAAACCCACCCAACACCCCCCAAATCAGCATATTTTAGCAGGCACTCTTAAGAATAGACTTGACTTTTCATCCTCAATTATCAGGTCATAAATCTAGAACTTCTCAGTTGCTAGCAAATGTGTGAAGGTCACCAAACAAGGACATAATGAAGTTATTGAGATTTAGAAAATTTAAAACAATATGAAGTCTTGTCTTTTCACAGTACTCTGGATTTTCCAGAGATGTTCCCTTTAGCAAAGGGCCAGTAGAAAACCAAAACCCAGAAACAGCCAAGAAAGAAATTCCCTTTCAACCACCAAGACTGATTATCTGAAAATAAACTTGGATATATTTTTCCTTTTGGATTAAATTAAATAGTTGATAATGGTATAATTTCAAAGTTTCAAGTATTCAAAAGTAACACAAGCTTTAGGAGGATTGGGGAAGGACCATGAATTTATAAGGCAGCTCAAACACATTCCCCATCAAAGGAATCACAACTTCTTGAGGAGCTACCAGGAGAAGCCAATATCCAAACTCACTGATGTAGCAAGCCTTGCACTCCCATAGAAAACTGTAACACAAGAACACCTTGATTCCTCACTGCCAGAACAGGACTCCTTTTATTTCCTTTGAACAGTGCATGGCAATGCACACCTCAGCATCCTCACATCTGACATTCCTATGTGAGATTGACAGGAATGAATGCCTCAAAAAAAAATCAGTAACTAAAGTCAGGATGATGAACCTTCATTTTGGCATCTACCAAGCCAATTCTTCTTCCATTTTCAACATGAAAAAAAAAGAAAAAGTTCTAATTCCGTTTCATCCCAAAATAATTAGGTATTTCTACTCTGCAAGACAAGATGAAACAAAAATAAAGTGACAAAACACAAAGTCTCCCATCTTATTACCCACTCATGCATGCACACTGACAGCCTTTTCTTCATAATGATTCACCAAAATATGCTTTTATAACATAAAATAGAATGAAAATAATGTCTGCTTTTAGCATCTCAAGTATATACAAATTTTTTTTTTTTCTGCTTTTCTGTCCTTGCCTTCTTTTCAGTAAATAAAACCAATCTTCCAGTTGGACCTTACAAGACATTTCCTATTATCTGCTGCCCATTTTCGAATTACAACCACAATGATTCTGACCTTATGGCTGGCAAAATCTGTGGGAATTACTTTCAGTAAGAAGGAAGAACAATTTTTTCTGTCATCCTCAATAGCCCCATTTGCAAGGATTTGGTTGAATAAAACAAAATAATCACTTTCTGGACAGAATTCAAGTATCAACAAGATTAATTCAGAAATAAGACTGTATTTTGGAATAAATGGCAGCAGCCTCTGGAATGGGAGCAGCCATGTTACAATAGGTATAGCAGGCATCACTGCTGCTGTGGCAGCAATATTGCTCTAATGGGCATTAAATTGACATGATGCAGACATTGAAAAATAAAGTTCAAGTACAAGGCTGTGCTTGCATGGGATGTGCCCTTAAATGATCTGTGTTCATCAATGACAGATTGTCAAAGATGGGAATTAATAAAGCAAAGCTACTGCTGTAACTATACAGACTGAGCTCACGTCTGGGAGAGCCAACAAAAATCTTCTTCCTCCTTTACTTTTCCCTGACAATTGCATTTAACTGCCACACAGAAGGAGCAGCAGGTAGCTCCTCCTGGGCTGGAGTGCCTGGGAATCATCAGAGTATTAGACTTGATATCCAAGCCCAAACATATTTACATTAGAGTAGATCAAATCAAAACTTGAGACCAAACATTCCCTGCATCAAGGCCTGCCCACAAGGGTGTCAGGTCAAAGAAAATGGTTTGCCAGAACTTTTCATGACAGAAATTAGAGCCTCAGAATACAGAGGTGCAAAATCCTGCTAAAGCCATGAGTCATGCAGTTTAGTTTTCCTGAACAGCATTCTTATATTCAGTGCCAACAGAGCTGATCAAAATGTTTTCTGTTGACACATTTGAAGAGAATTTGGAGTTTTGATCAAACTAAAACCCACCTTTTATATTTTTTCTTTTTGATATAATATCTCTTAATAGTGTCAAAATTTAATTTTTTTCACCCACTACTTAATCCTCCATTGCAGTAATGGAGCAATTTCATGCTTATGAAAACTGTTGGTTGCTATTAAAATAAATGCAGCAATATAGAATCACCACTTTTACATGTTATGGATTAGAAGGCAAGAAAAACAAAATTTAGACTGCAGATACTTCATTTCATCACCAGAACAAGGGTAAATAAAATCAAAGTGTACCAATTGAAGTTCATTAGATACCTTAGAGAGACCAAGAAGAATTTATTGTCAATTCTTAGGACAGAACATGCTCTCTTAAAAAGAACTAGCAAACCCACTACTTTTTACCCCATGAGTTTAGTAGATACCCATACAAAGCCAGAGAGCAGTCCTATTTAAAACAGGGCCTTTTACACAGCCCTTTTCTGATAGGAACTGTATTTTTCTACTTTGCATTAATTAGCAAGGGTCATACAGATATTAGCACAGGAGAAAGAAGACAGCTCTGCCTCCTCATTGTGATGGTTTTCACTTCTACCTTTCCAACCAGCCAACTCCCCCCAGCTGTCTGGGAGAAAACATGATGTTTTCATGCAGCTCAGCAAGCCAGGGACATGCAGGCTCCACAGCAGCTCTCATAAACCTGATTGCATTGACTTCAGTAAAGCCAAAGTGATTTTCATCAGCTGAGGAACTGGTCTGACCTGTACAGAACAGGCTACTGTGTACAGTAAAGGCCCAAAGGCTGAAACACTGAAATACAAGCACCTAGACATAGATAAGAGGGGAACTTTTAGCTCCTTTCAAATGTGCAACAAATTTCCATGGACTTCAGCATAGCAGGAACTTCCCTGGTGGCAAACTAGGGCTAATTCATCGGCACAATTTCAGCTACACTGATTTATTCCAGATCAGGTCCTGTCCTTAAACTTCTATGGTAGTGGAGCATATATTCATGACCTAATCCATTATCACAGGATGGAGAAATGGAAGGAATGAAAGCAGCACAAATGAAGATTTTATCACTTAAATAAAATTGAGGGCTGTTATTCTTTATATTTACTTCATAGAATCATTCATTTCTTACCTCACAGATACAAGCAAGCTATTGTTCAACTTCAGTTCTCTCAGATTAGGCAGATGCACACCTGTGGGAACAAAATAAAGAATCACTTTTTGCACCTGGGATTAGAGTAAAGGAAAATTATGACAATTACAAGTTGAAGCATCTAATTTTACAAGTATTTCTTAGCTGTTTCTGGCAGGCCTGTCCCGGACTTCTTCTAAGAAAATCAATGAGATTATTTCACTCAAAAACTATTTCATCCTTTGCATTTTTGAAACATATATGTATTGTCTGCACGACTACCCAATTACAATTTTTGAACCCCTCACTGGAAACTCTGATATGGCACCTTGCCGGACAGACAAGAAAAGAAACTGGCTTGATGTGTGACTGTTTTCTTTGGTCTGATTCCCCATCCTGATTGACTTTTAACTGAGTGATACTCTGCAGAGCTAAGGGATACTTTAGAGTATAGCATTCCATGACCTATTTAATGGCAAGTAGTGATGGACTTAATGGATACACAGCCAGGTAACACTTCTTCAAAATATGACTTTGAATCAAACAGCAACCACATAATGATCCATAGTCACAACATCATCTTTTATAGTTCACAGGTCCCACAAATGCTACATTTTGCAAAGCATTGCTTTCTTCTTTTAATTTTCTAAATACAACTGTTTACCATTGACTTGTACAAGTTTCATACCTATAAAACCCTCAGTATTCTTTTTGTTATTAATTTAATTAATGTGCTTTGTTTTGTATCCCTGAGAGACATTTGCCTTTTAGATTCACTCTAATGGTATCTGTGAACCAAAATCATACACCAAATCATTCCAAGGTGCAGAATAACTTAGACACAAGCTCAAGTCTCAGAAACCATTTCTTATGGACAGTAGCAAATGTTTACCCATTCACACCAGCAGAGTTTACTCAAGGCTGGTGAGTATCCTCCAGTATAACATGCAACCATGTAGAAGTAACACCAATTTTAGACAAATTGGACCATTGCTGAAACATTAACATGTGTTCTCAGCAAATATTTTTATGAGTTCTCTGAGTAATCACAGTCTGGCAAGGGTGATTTACCAATGTCCAGAAGGATACCAGTCGGTGCTTTGCAAAGGATAAAAAAAAAGAAAGGGGGGTGGGATCTCAAAAGCAAAGAAAGGAGGTCATGTTGTTCATTCCCCAAAGAGAACAAGAGCATTTATGTCAAAAACATTTTAATAAATCATGTTTTAATAGAAGCATTAGCTACATCTCATGTTATTTTGGAGTGATCATAATGCACATATTGATTTTCATGATGTACTGCAAGTATTTAAGTTCACATCTTTTTCAAAGCACTTTTGAAAATACAAAAAATTCAAAACACACTGTGCCATTTTCTAACCTTGTTTTCCAAGCATTTTCCACAATCCATAAAAACTAAGAACAAATTAGAACAAATAGCCCTCCTCCTGCAGGATATGCTTTCTCATGTCAAACAAGTTTTATATGTATATATGGCAACAAAATAATTTGGAGTCCTGGCAGAGAAAACATTAGGATCTCTGTTAATTACTCACAGCAGCCACACTAGCTACTGAGCAAAGACTCCCTCAGATAGAAATCAGGGCCTAAAAAATTCCACCCCCCCAAAAAAAAAAAAAATCTAGATTCTAAAAAATTTCTATCCTGTTTCTGACAAGGATGGAGAAATTAAATGTCATCCCTTGAAGAGTTAAAGGAAAAAATGAGAGGGATGCAGTAGCCTCTCCAGTCCCAGCTCCAAACTGAGTAATGGTGCCATGGATTCAGGCAGAGATGTAAAAGGGTTACCAAGCAAAGACCGATGCAAAGCATTGCAAAGCAAAGGAGTTTTAAGGACTAGTGTTAAGCACAAGATTTGAATGAGGAGTCAAGAGAAATGGAGAGACTTGCCCAAGAAAAAGCTTTTCACTGAATGCATTTAGGCTTGGCTCAGGAAAGAAGCAACTATTAAAGGATCCAAAGAGGCTGAGTGACAGGCTGATAACAAAATTTTCACATCTGGTTAGTTCATTATTGTAACTTGATCCTCCATCTCAGATTTTTTTTGCACTTTGGCGCAATCTATCCTCGGGAAGTTGTACAGTGTTACACTTTAATGTGTGGTTTATGAGCTTGAAATAGAAGTATACAATATGTGGTGGTGCAAAATTCTGCCAGCAATATTCTACAACGTATTCCTGCAAGTCTGCAGGTTCTTCCCTCCTCTAAGTTTTATATCAATATGTGATTATTCTTTGGTGCTAAGAATTCATTGTTCCATTGATTTTTATGGTTTTTAGAGTTTTAAATACTTATAAATAGAATAGAGGCCAGAAGTTTAAATTAGGAAGAGAAAATTGTAAAATGAAGGTGACAAGACACTTATCCCAATGTAAAGGTGTATTTCTAATTTTTGTAATTTTAATCCTCATGGCATCTTTCCTCAGAGCAAGGACACATGATACTAACATATAAAAATACCAAAATACAATAGTAATAATTTCTAATATTCATTTTAGAAGTACAAGCAGTATATTCCTTATCCTTATTCCCTCCTTTGTGTAATTTTGATTTTAAAGAGCAAGAATAGTCCACAGAAATGCTGATGATTGCAGGACAAGGGGAGAATTCAGGATGACGAGCAGTGTTATCTCATCTGTCTGCGATTCCCTTTCACTAATGACCGGTTTTGTTACATGGCTCTGAAATTACTAACCACCAACAATGTACTAGTGTTAAACTATTCTACTCTACCAGTGGAACAAAACTAAATGAAAGGGCAGAAAGAAATCAGAGTGCAAGTTAGGTGAATAAAAGTGATAGACACATACACTCAACAACGAAGCCTGAAGTGCTGCACTTCACAGGCAGGGTAGCAGTGTAGATGTCTTTCCAAGGTGCCTTGGTACTGCTGGTGACATTTAGAAAACTGAGTAGGAGAAGCAAAGAGAAAGCAGCCCAAATGCTGGTTTTATGATATTCTACAAGTTACAACACTTCTAACACTTGCTGTTTACATTATGAAGTATTCTTTAAGTAGCATCATATATCTTTGTTTTTCTATTGTTAACAAAAAATCATTGTGGCTTGACTTGCATCTTTTGGAACATGAACTAGTGAAAAACAAACAAAATAAATTACTGACAAATGCTTGCATTGGCACCAGGCAGCCATCGTGCTTTGTTGATCCTACAACACAAAACAGGCATATCAAAACAGGCTGTGCTCTTCTAGCAAGAGCAACCTGAGATGCAAATTAAAGAGTCTATTTAGTTCTCTTGAGCTGTGTTTGATCAAACAAGATCACTTTGATGCTATTTCTACACAGGCATTTTTTTGCATGTTTCTGGGATGAACTGGGCAGTACAACTGGAGGTGAGACCACAGCCCTTTCAGACACACCCAAGGCAGCTGCAGTTGAGCTCCCTGTGATGGGGATCTCACAGAAAACACATCAGTGCAGGGCTTCACATGAGCACACTGCCCCAGTGCACACTTGTGACTCCTGCAGACCCTGCCCAAGCCCTGCTGTGGGGCTTGTCCAAGCCTTGCTCAGTGAGTTTGTCACCACCAGCTAAGCCAAGGCCATCCTGGGCAGGAACACCCGTGCCAGACTCACTCCTCCAGCCTCTGTGCTGCTCCCTGGCCGTGCAAGCACCTGCTGCTGCCATGCTGGCTGCCAGCAAAGGTGTCCCAGCTCTGCACCCAGAGTGCCAACAAAAAGGGCGAGAGGAAAGAGAGATGATGGCCCTGCATGAGAAATAGCACATGGCTACTTCTGAACCCTTGGCAGAGCTTTGCCTTGATAAAATGCCTGCAAGGGAAGTGGCAATCTCCAGACATGTAATCAACTTAGTCTGGCCACCAGCAGGCAACAATTCAATAAGGACCAGCGAACAGCACTGTGGGTAACTTGATTTGGAGCTATTAAAATTACTTAGGAATAAGAGGACTATGTAGTGTCTTAAATGACTCTATCCCACCATTATTTTCAACAGGAATTTCTATGAGCTGGTCATAAATGCAATTCCATACCTGTCAGCAATCAAAACTGAAGGGATAAGTTAATGAAAAGGAAATAGTACCTCTGAACATAAACTGAGGCCTACATGCAGCTGAGGAGCACAGAAATCAACCCTAAGATATGTCAAGCTGGATACAAGACTTGCCAGGGCGTTCAGGGTTTCATCTGTCACTCAGCAAGGTGCACTGAAAACAGCTGGAGAATTCAGCAATTACCCCAAGCCCTGCAAAGATTCAGATTTAAGCTCTGGCATGAAGCCTTTCCTTTAAATTTTAAAACTGATCGCATGAGAATATTTCAATATCAGTCTTTTCATGTTTTAGTCTACACCTTGTCCCTAAGAAAAGTAACTCTTCCTCCCTATCATGTCACGCCATTTTGTAGAGGCAGACCTGACAAACTGGACAAGGTTAACAGGATGGTGCTTTAAAGTTTAGTGGAATGGTCTCAAGAAAAACATCAAGCAACAAGTTTTAAATCACTCTGGAAATCTTTAGGCCCTGAGTGTTTGTGTTACAGTCTGTAACACAGGCTATGAACCTTGAAATGTTTCTCAAGTGAAAACTGTGGTGTAAATTTGGGATTTGAGTGCTGCAACGTTCCAGGTGACTCAGAGTTATGTGCAGTCTTGTAACTTTTAACACTTTCACCTGGCCATTTAAGACCTTGCCTGGCCTATTTTATCTTTACACATAAAACCAGTCAAAACAATATTGTTTACTGGGTGTGGACTGATCATCGAAAAAATTTGCTGATGACAAAGATTCTCTTACCCCCTTCCACAACTAAGGAATACAGTGAGAGCAAGGTGAAGTGGTTTAATATGTGTATAAAGAAAGCTTATTACCCAGGTTTGAAATTCAAAAGAAACACCAAATTACAGAGCAGTCCAGGCTAGAGGGAACAGTTGTAGGTCTCAAGCCCAGCATCCTGCTCAGAGCCAGTTTGTCTGTGAGATCAGGGTGCTCAGGTCTTCGTCCACTTGAAAACCTAGCAGGATGGAGTCTCCAAACCTCTCTGGATACTCTTATTACCTGACTGTCCTAATAGGGGGAAAACTTTACATCCTGTCACACTAGAATGCTTGTCATTCCAGCTGATCTGCTTCCTACCCTACTGTTTTCCTCAGGCTATTTCTCCAGACCCCTGTGACCACAGACCAGGTCAGCAGCACAGCTGCAGAGGTAGGCAGTCAGCAGGGAGCAAGCAATGAGCCCAACTTCTTCAACAGCAGCATTCACAGTGGAGGTGCAAACTGCTCTGCAAAACCCCTAAACATTTAGGCCCTACTCCATGTGCCTAAAAATCATCTGCCACGTGAAAAAAAAGGAAAGAAACTAAAGTAAACTTTCTGCCCTAGCCACCTGCTGACATTTGCAAAGAGATTTTCACAGGAAGAAAACTCAGAAATGCACCTTAAAAAAAAAAAAACAAGAAAAAAAAACAGAAGGAAATTCAGAATGGTCTTGATGTTCTGTTATTCTCAAAAGCAGTGGGGACCTGCAGGGGCTGGTTTTCATGGCCTTAAAGGGCCAGCTCTTGGTGTGAACAGTGGGAGATAAACAAGATGGAAATTATTTGTATCATGGACATATTGTTCTGTATTTTGTATTCTGTAAAGGTTGCAAAATCTAGCCATGGGTAGGAGAAGGGATTTATTCCAGTAATTGAAAGGGAAGAAGAGAGTGATGAAGGTGAAACATTTTGCTAGCCTGTCACAGCTAATGTAAAATGGCATAGGAATGGGAGCACCACTTTTGAGCATAATAGAAATGGCATAATGAGATTTCCTTATCAACTGGATTAGTTGAAACATGATTGAATAGATTATGATCTCTGAAAGAAATGGATGTAACTTACCTTAAATTATCAAGTGCCTATGAGAAAGAGACTTAATCATGAAATAAACAGAATAACCAATACAAAGGGGCTAAAAATACAAAACAAAAGCCCCCTTCACTGTTCTTGCTCAACTATTCTTGACAAATAGACATCAAAAGACCCATTAAAGCTAGTCAGCTGTTACATTAGTCATTTGCATATGAAAAATTAACTGCTTGTCTGAAAGCACCAGTACACAGTTTTGGGGACATGGCTCCTTTTCAGCACAGAAAATATTACCCTGCACTAGTTACTCAGCTTCAATGTAGAAAAAGATGGACTTGGTTGTGGTAGGAATCCACATGACAGAAAATGATTGCTGGTGCTCGGAAAAAAAATATTATATTCTCAGTATTAACTCTGCTACAGAGGAAATTCCTTTGGTACTTCTCACTTCCCTGGTTCAGTGAGGATGACATAAAAACAAATGACAAGTATTAGGGCTGCCTGGGGCTCATCAAAATGATGTATCTGCAGGACCTGCCTCCAGCTCATCTTCCAGCACAGCTCAGTGAGGCTGGGTGCAAAGACAAGCTGCTGGAAGCATAAGCCACCTGATAGCGCTGGCAATTCCTCAGTCACAGGGAAACCTCACAGTGGAGAGAAGCTGACATTTGGCTCCTGTTTCACTAAAGACAAGAGTAAATGCTCTTTTAGGGTCTAGCATACCATACAAGAAAAATTTGTCCAAACTAATTTGCTTTAGACAGAAGAGACGTCACTCATCCCATTGCCAGAGTTTCCTATTCAGAGCCTCACACCAAAGACAGAGATCAAAGAGTGTGAGGTACGAGGAAATCCTGTTTTAAGAACTCTTGAGAAGGACAGTACTTTTCACTGGCTATTGGTTAGTGAATCCCCAGTCAAGACACCATTAAGGAAAATTCAAGATGATGAGCAGAAAATAAAGTGTTTCTTACCAAAGTTCCCCAAGCTGATCTCTCTGGTGTCTACTCGCATCTCTAGGGCCTTCACTTGCTGCAGATCATCTACCCCTGCCAAAATTTTCTGTAAAGATAAGCAGAAATATATGTGTACCCTCATGCAATAAACCAGAAGTCACAGCAGCAAAAGGGTCTAGAAAGATTTTCAAACAGTGTTTTGTCAACATATATTTCAGGTCAACATGGCTAGATGTGCAATCACATTGAAATGAACACAGTATTCAAAGACCTTTTTTCCTTGTAGGCCCAAAATACTCTAGTCTCCCAAAATTTATACATTGCTTAAAAAGTCAAGGCTCAGGGTTACATTCAGGCTGCAAACCAACAACAGACCTACATGCCACCTAACTTTATTTAAACAGTATGTCCATGCTTAAAGATTTGCACAAGTCTTGCACTAATCCTCAGCAGATAGAAAGTGTTAACTTCAAACATCTCTTGTAATTCAACAGGTGCTGGTAGTAAAACTCAACAAAGCACACTGTTTACCTTTTGACCCAAAACAATAAAAAAGAAACATGATTTTAGCTCAAGCCACTCACTTTTCTGACAGACTACACTAATTATAAGAATTATTAATTTCTTTGAAAGTATCTAGGCAATGCAAATAGAGGCCTTCCAAATCCTTCATTATTTTTACAAAATTGTAATAATTGGATGAACCACTGCATTAAGCAAGGATGTGTGTGTGAATGCAGACTCTTTTCTAATCTTTCTTAACATCCTAAAGTCTGTGTTGATAGATACACATGCCATGTGTATCATTCATTTACATTTTGCCATGGCAGAGGTAAGCAGGAGGAACAAAACAGGCAGAAGCTATACACAGAGGAGAGAGGGAAGCTCTAAGACTGACAGGGAAAACCACAGCAAGGCTGTGAAATCCTAAGGCTGCAACTCCACAAGGAGCTGAAGCAATCTCACGTTACCACTGCGCTCATCCCGTTTCTCCCTGCTATGATCCAATTTCTCTCTCCCCAATTTCCCTCATTCAGGGAGCACATCCCACCACCTCCTTTGCATCAGCCTAGTTGCATGAATGTTTTAACAAAACAGACCAGAAGAACCATATCCTTTCTTCCTCATGGGTTAGTGGTTCATGGAGGAGTCTGAAAAAATCCTTGAAAAATGAGAAGCAAAGTTTATTTATCATGTTAACTGCCTGAAATTGTTGATGCTATACATAGTGATAAAACTTACAAATTTTCACCTTTCTGTGTCAGAAGAATTAGGATGTGTGGCTGAACATGTCCACTTCAAAGAAATGTCTGGCCCTGGCATCAGTTTCCTCCTCAATGATGCAACCAAGAGCAGGAGTTGAAAGTATTGTCACCAACTTTTAAGGCCTTTACTTAAGGTGAAGGCAGAAAGTCATTCATTAACCACCACATACAGGAGCCAAATTTTCTCATTATTAAAAACGACAACATTCTTTAGGTTCTTTTAATAACGGAGAATGTATTCATTAGAAGGGAATGTCTAGGATGACCTCTGCTTATGAGTTTTGGGAAGAAAAAACCCCACAAGAATATCCAGTTAATTTTGCAAGGAAAAAATGGTGCTTGCAACATTTCTGCTCATTAGGTAATATTTTTATTGTGCACAAGTGGCTGCAACTTTCACTGATGTTCCACATCCTCTTACAAAGGACTAAAGCCAGTCAGTGTAACTGAGCTGGCAGTTCAAAAGGACATGGTTTCCAGAAAATGCTGAGCATTCCTTCTTGAAAAGCTGTCCCCCTTTATAAGGTCTTGACGTGTAGTCCTAAGAAACAGAATTATCCAATACCTTCAACTGCCTTTCGACTATTTTTAAAACATTATGTTTAAAATGATTTTTAAATCTTATTTTTAATATTTTAACTGTGATTTTAAACAGGCTGAACATAAGAAAGCTTCTAAGACTCTATCACCACATGCAGCCACCACAAAATGTGTTTTGCTCTTGCAAAGGCAGCAAACTTAACAGCTACAGACAGCTTTCTCCCTCCAAGTGAACACAAGATCTCTCATGGCAAGCCACATTCTGCAGTAACCCTTTTCAGCAGATGACACTGTCTGTCACATAGCACGAGATTATGTGTGAAACGAGAGCTAGCTGATGTCCTGGCATGAAACCATGCACTTGGATTGCTGGATGTGGATGCAAGCTCACTGTCATTAAAGGAAGAAGCTTCTGAAAAATACCTCCCTCCTTGCCATCAAAATAGTTTTAAGAGCCTACATCAGAACAGGAGGAAGTTTCAGAACAAGTAATAAGCTCAGGGTCAGACACACTGTCAGTTGAGTAGCAAAAGGTCCTGATACCCCAAGGAGTCTTTGCTTCTTTTTTTGTCCTTTTCTCCTTTGCTGTCTGCAAGTTCCCTGCATGCTGTCCTTCCCCTGCTGTATTGCAGACAGCCTCCCTTCACAGTTCTGCTCCCTGATCTTTTTTTTTTTCAAAATCCAAGCATAAAACCCGCATGAAGTTATATTCTCCCCTTGTCTAGGGTTCCCTATTCCTTTTTTTCATATCAGGGATTACCAGTGTCACTCCTTGCCCTCCTTTTCCTCTTCCTGATCCACTATCTGTACCTTTCCCACTGTCTGAGAGATGAGCTGCTCAGTGCACCCATATTTTGTACTGCAACAGGCAGAACTGTGACTCCAGTGCTGGAAAGGGTTATTGGCTGTCAGCAGCAGCTCTTTGAACTATAGATAGCTGCCCTGAAGCATGTGCTAACCAGATGAGACAAACTCCATATACTCTCAGTGCCCACCTCCCTGTTCTGCATTTCCAAGAGTCTCTATGACAATCACTGTCCTTCCATCTGCTGATGGTGAGGAGATGCTGGGACAGCTTGAAACCAATTTGCTGGGGGATGCACAAGATAGTGTAGTACATGAAGGAAATGGGAAATGCTCTTGGGTGGAGGATATGAGCTCATTTAAAGGCACTAAAGCACTGAGACCCCAGATGCTGACTGCAAGAGAGTCAGCAAGCAAAGGACAGAGCAGCAGTTCAAGAGGAGGATACGTGGGGAATGGTTCCTATGGAAGATTGTTAGGCATTGCTACTCTCCAGACACCATTCTTGGCATGCTGCTGCACCTGCAAGTGGGATACTTCTCATGTCACAGCTAAAATTCTGACACTAGGAATGGGGACATTTAGGGAAGGACGTGGAAACATTTAAGCAAAGATTCAACCTATTTTGCAGGATCTTCTTTCTATGCTGCTGTTTAATGTCAAAGCATGGGAACCTCCATCAAAACTTGAGAGAAGGGATATTTTGGATGAATTTTTCTGCAAGAGAAAAAAAAATCGTGACCCAACACACTGAAGGGGTCATCAGCTTGGACAGAGAGATGTCTGACATCATGTAGATAGAAGTGATGCTCAATGCTCTGTCTCTCTTCATTCCTAGGCCATTCCAGGTCTAGGACAGGCTCCTGCCCTAATTCAGAGGTGTCCCACTGTGATTTCAGGCAATGACTGCCTGCCCATAGGTTAATGGGCTGTTCTGACAGCCAGGGACAGAATGTCTCTGCCTGTGCCCCAGGAATGCTTACAGACATGAAGGTGCTGTACATCCAGGTATTTCTTTGGCTGTTTCCAGCTGCTCAGCCTCCATGTACAGCAAACAGAAAGGGACCAAGGATCTGTTCTAGACAAAGAGTGGGATAGATTCACAACTATTTTAAATCAAAAAGATACCTTGAAAAACCAATATAATTCCAAGCTGAGTGTTGGTATTCAGAGAGGACTCTGCTTGCCACCATCTGCAGCCCTGTAAGGTAGGTATCAGTTAGAGAGAGACGTTTCCTGAAAAAAAATCAAACATCAAAACCTTTCTGGCACATCACGTTCAAGAAGGTGGCCTGAAAGGTTGATCCTGAGCAACAGTTTGACACTCCACTGTAAATTTGTTTATTTGAAAGGACACATTTCCATGGTAAAGCACTGCACAAGTCTTTGAAGATACTTTGTATACTTTTTTTATATATATAAAGATTAATAAAGCTCACTTTACATTTTTTCACCTCCTTCAAAATAGGAGTAAAACTATTTTTCATGAAGAATCTGTTGGTAAATAATTTAGCCAGTATTTTAAGAACCAAGTCCATGATGGTTCACAAACCATTCCCACCATGCAAAATGTCTGGCCAACTGGGGACTGTGCACTGGCTTGGAAAGCTTCTTTTCTGACTGACAAGAAAAGCCAGTAAGTATTCTGTAGAAAATTGCAAGTGAGAAATACTTCTGTGCTCGTAGAGCTTCCCACCTGGCAGAGCAGTCACCTGGGGATGCTGGGAAATCCAGTTCAAATCCCACAGCTATCTGTAAATTCCTTAATTGACAAATAATATCTGTTCAGTCAAAACTGGCACACACAACTGATGTCTTTTCTCTTCCCTAGATTTTTCACATACTCCAAGAAAAGTAGGCATGTTGCTGAAGAACAAGTTGCATGCAGCTGTCAGAGAAATATTTCCATCTGTGCATTTATTTTGCTGATCCTGGTTAATTTGGCTAAGACAGGAATTCCAGAGTGGTGAGCTTGTTCTCTTTGAATACTACACCTGTATGCAAATTCTAAATTCATGTCCATTCATGTGTTTATTGCCTTTTTTTTTTTTGTCAAGGTATAATCTCTCCTTCACAAAAAAAAAAAAAAAAAAGTTGCTAAAAGTATGACAAAATAAAAGGGAACAGAACTTCTCTGTGGCCCTACATGCAAACTTCCTTTCAAAACGTCTAAATGCTGCAAATGCCCATAACTAAAATATTTAAATATTTAGCTGTATTCCTCTACTTTCAGCATATACATATAAATACACTCTTCTCTCAGCTCAGATGAAGAGATTCATCCATAATGAAGGATTCAGCAGATCCAAATTCAGTCAAATTCAGTTCCTTCCATTCCCTTACTCTACCTAATTTATCAAGATTCTGCACTTTCTTGATGTCCAGTTATTTTCCTCAAATCCATTTATCTTACAGCTGTGAGGAAAACTTTCTGCAAAAGGAAAAAAGGAAACAATTGAGCCACTTCAGCAAGAATCCAATCTGTTGTTCCAGGACCCTCCAGCATTTTCTTTTTCCCATGAGGATGAGTGCATACCATATGAAATACACCCTAAGCTCCTGAGCAACAAAACTAAACACCACATCCGAACACGTGTTCCAAAGTTTGGAAAACACGATTAGTTGGAGCAGGATCAATAAAAAGCAAAATTAGAGAATAGTTTCTTTCTTCTCTAAAGATCACACACAAACGTGATTGGGTTTTATAATGTGACAATGTCTGGAAGATCATTTGACCTTGTAAAATGAGTTTCCTCTGAGAAGTGGAATGCTTTTAGTGGAAGTCAGGAAAAGATCCATTGCAAACAGCAGGGAGAGAATGGGGGTTGATAGAAGAAAATAAAAATGTGATTAAAGACAGGTGGCGCCCTTAATTTCAGTTTGTCCACATTTAATGAAAAATCTGTGTCATAGCCCTAATAGAGTTAAAAATTAATTGGCCATTGTTAGCCAGTTTTCAGAACAAAGTGAGAATTTTCTCACTCGGGTATTCCTAAATATCTAACAACCACACATAAGGATGGGCAGAGCAGAGAAATATTAATAGGAAAATAACTAGGAAAATATAGAGCTGAAAATATTACTAGGACAGGTACAAATGGAAAAGCAAGAATTCCTATTCATATAGAGGAAGATTAAAGAGTACACCAGAAAACTGATATTGATATTAGCAGAAAGAATAAAAATGACATCTAATGATACAACCCTTGTATCAAAAGCTTTTGACCTGTATCTTGGATGAAGGACATTCAAATATAAAAAGATGTAACACAACAGTGCAGCAAGAGAGCTGGCAGCACAAAGAAACTAGAAGATGTGGTTAACATAATGAAAATATAGAATCATCCAGGATTTGAAGTGAACATTATGCTGAAACAAGACTACAGAAGACCACAACCTCTGTGGTGAATGAGCATAAAGTCTAAATGAAGGGATCCACAATGGAGAGGAAGAAAATGGGCAACGGTCCAATGGTTTTGTAGAAGTTGTCTTTTGTTCTACATGGTCCAAGAAGGCAAGAAAGGAAAGGGAAAAAAAAAAAAAAAAATCAGTCCAAGCCAAACTTTCCTCTCTTTGGAGGAAAACAATGCAGCTAGTGGATAAAAGTGAAGGAACACAAGTGTCACAAGTTTTAGAGAGTTCTTAATAATGCAGACTGATAATGGTTTCACTACAAAACAGACAGCCATCCCTCTGGAAAAAGGGCAAAATTACCCAAATGTTCACACAGAAATCAGGCTGCAGTTCAAGGTGCCAAATCTACACAGAATACGCACAATGAGACTTCGCAGCTTCCCCAAACTCAAACCAAACTGATGCAAGACAGACCATTGTGAGGACATGGAGTAAAGCTGAGTATGTGTCTCAGGAAAAAAAACTTTCCTCAGGAGCATCCATAAGGTGTCCAAAATTTGCCTACACAACACTACGGAAGTGTGGCCCATGCCCTTATTTGAATGTAAAACAATTTTACTTTAATGAGCCTGTATTTTAAAAGTCTATTAGTTTCCTTCTCAGAGCACTTCAATGGATACAATCAATAACTCCTAAAATATTCACATCAATAAAACAATCAAAAAGATACTGCAGCTGTATTGATTTAAACAAGACAACCTTTCAAACCATTTGACTGTCAATGGCATGTGGGTCCTTAAAGAATTATGCATGTGAAAACTTGTTTTGTATTAAATGTTTGAACATTCGCAAATCCAGAGGAAGTAAATTTATGGCAGCAGTGCATATGTTCAACATAAAGGTCAGAGAATAGATAGATGGGGTATGTTATTAAAACAAGCTATAAACACTGTAAATGTTTCCTTGACAATGTCATGTAGTTTTTCCTCTGAGCAGGAAGTATCCCAGCTATGCCAACACAAATTCTAGGTTCCAGGACTGCAAATAACTGTGTCCAGAAAAATTAGCAGGACAGTGTACTTCACTTAAAAGAATCTTTGAAATGAGATTCCTTACAAATGTTAAAACCAACAATCTCAAAAAAGGCAAAACTCAATTATTTAACTTCTTATCTGCATTTTTTAAAAAGTTACAGAGTAATAAACAACAACTTCATGGGATGTAGGTAATGTTGCCTTACATATACTTTTCTGCTTACAGTTTGCTGTGAATTAAAAGCAGCAGAGGTTCAGAAAGAGAACTTCATGCCAATGAAAGAACTTCCTAAGGGTTTCATTCAGAGTTGATTGAATCAGAGGGCAGCTGTTTTGGTTACTCTAATGGGCTTTGGTTCGTGCCCTAACAATAGAGACTAATCTGAGAGGCTCCCATCACATTTATACAGGCTGTTGCAGGCCACAAACACATTAAACTGGTCCAATTCTATGCCAGGTTTTAAAAAAAGACCAAGAAGTGGTCAGAGGTTCTCAGGAGCCCAAGGAAAGTGAACAGCACAGACCATACAACCATGCAGCAATTTTTCTCTAGAATGCTTAAAATATCCACTCTGCAGGAAGGGGTTTTTGCACCTTCAACCATTTTATAAACACTAAAAAACTTGTCTAATTAGGGAACAATAGTTCTGCCTAATCTACAGCATATGGTCAGAATGGTCTCTGGAATGTGGCTGGGGAGTGGCTAGGGAGTGGTGTAAACCCACAGCTGGAATATGCTCCTGTGCAAGCTCGTGTCTCCCCACTGGTGCAGTGGATACAGAGGGGATTGTGGATTCCTGCAATCACCACCCTGGCTGCTGGGAGTACCTGAACCACAGCCTTGGCAGCCCCATCTGTCTTTCACAAATGCTCCCCACCAGGAGAGATTCTTCTGTAGGTCTGCAACACAGAAAGTCTCTCTCCTCAAGTTCTGCTCTCAACTCTCCCTTCCTTTGGTGTGGAAAAGTGACCTTGTTTGGTCAGCTCATACACATCCCACAGGATTTCATCCTTAATTAGCCCTGAGCAAGTACAATCCAGTGTGCAACCAAGTAGTCTTTCACAAATATTTCACAAAGTGAATTCTTTCATGAAGATTTCAGCATGTGACTCTCTTTCAACAGGCTGCATAGCAAAATCATTTCCCCCAGTCTAAAAGGAACATGGCTTTTAAATATGCTTTGAAATTCCTCCCACTTTGACATGTATAGAAAGTACTTCTATAATTTGCAGAATATTTTAATTGGCTTCTTAGCAGGACAGAGGATTTCACTAACTCAGTGGAAAAAAAACTTGTGCTTTTAAAGTTACATTTCCAATCTTTAGAACAAGATTAATGTAAATTATTTCTCTAATGCTAAGATTCAAGGTACTCCAGATGGCATTAATGAGATCTGTGTAGACCATAATTATGCTACCTGTACTTTTCTTCACGCTGCTTCAAGATTCCTAGCAATAAACACAGCCACAATCATGCTGGGAATACTTTGGATAGGAAACAAGGTGAAAGGAGGACAAACATTTGATATACTTTCATAAGACAGAATCTACTTTACTCAGAAATCTAAATGTCAGAGAGGCAACAATCCACAATCAGTACAATAGCAGTTGGAAGGTTAATACAGCTCTGTATATGCCAGTTTGCCTCTTTCACTTCATCAAAAAGTTGGATGTCTACTCACCAGTTTCCTGGGGGAAAGATGTTCCTCCATAAGCAGCTCTCCATCATCTTCAATCAGCAGACTGGGATTTGGGTTGCCTTGCCAATTCAAATCAGTTTCCTGGTCTTCAGATGAGCCTGGATGAGAAACTCTGTCAGGATTCCACTTCAGGTCCATCTCAACATGCTTTGGACAAAAGGATAACAAGCAGTCGGATTTTTCTACCCATATTTATTATTTTCCTGTCAGCAAAATCTATTTTGACTCCTATTGCAAGACAGAAAATGCCTGTGGAGATACAGGTTTCTTTAACCAGCACAAACCCAAAGCTATGCATTACATAACATGTTCCTCCTTTTCTTCACCCTCAAGAGTTACCCAAGTCTCACACCCCATTCAGCTTTGAGTGTAAGCTTCCATAGCAAGCTATGTTTGCAGGTACACAAGAAGCTGGGCATGCCTAAAGCTCTGTACAAAGAAGAAAGCTAAGAACAAACAACTCAGGACACCTTTCCAGCCTCCTCACTACTCCACTCATCCTTCTCCAGTGTTAGTGAGCTTCCCACCCACACAGGCTGCCTGCCTACCCCTTTCCTCTTGAGAAACATGAGCAACACCCCAGCAAAACTCTGCTGGACTCCAGACTGCAAGTGCCAGTACCAAGGCACAACACCACCTCTCAAGCATTTTGAGCTCTGCCTGCAAGTAGCACGGACAAAACCTGTCTGTGTTTGCTGTCCTAAATCAAACAACCCAGCACTGTTACTGACTCTAGGTTAGGCAGGCAATGGCTACTGACTTTTAGTTCTAAAGACAGTCTTGGAGAAAATAAATTAAGAATACAATTTAAATAAAATTGTGTTTCCTTCAATTGAGGAATGAAATACAAAGTTTGAAGATGAAGCACTTCAGATGTGGTCATTCTTCAATTCCCAAAGATATCACTTTCACAGAAATATTAACAATTAACTTTGAAATATGAGAGTAAGCATATGTACACCCGTTAGAGTAAAAAAGCAATCAGCTGTACCCAAATGGTACAAGCATTACTGTGATTTATACAGCTATTTACTACTACTTGGCAACAAGGAAGTATCACAGCTGGAAACACTACTGTAACAACTAAAGACTAGACTAGAGAAAAGCTGTCTTGCTTTGCTGAAGGGACACCTGCAGTTTTGTTCTGTTCTCCACTGCGAAGTAATATTTATTCTTAGTGCTGGAAAAGTAATTAAATGATCAAGCTAATCATAACTGGCTGACAAAGCATCAGTGGTGGCCAAGACCTGAGAATTACCACTTTCCTTCCTCCTCAGACTAATAAACAGTTAAACAGAGGAGTAACTTCTGTTAGGACAAATAGGAGTTCTGACTGCTCAGCCGGTCATCTCTACTTGAGAGGACTGGCCGGGTACAAAGTGAAAGAAATCTGGATCAAAAAGACTTCTTCTTTTGACTGCTCAAGTCCAGTCAAAATTCTTCATGTGCACAAGAAAAAAAATTCAAAAGTCTCTGTACTGTCAGAAAAAAACCAGCAGCCCTTACCCAAACAAAAACAGCAACAAAAAACCGATGATACACCAAACCTGACCCTGCAGAACCTACTACACTCTGAAGGGAGGAACCAAATCCTCAGACTCCTAAGTCCTCCTTGTGTACACTTGTCAGGGCAGAAGAAGCCCATAGAAAGCAAACCCTACTTTTTCCTTCCTTTCCTTCCTTTTTACTTCACCTACCTGGCAAGCACTCCTACAGGAGAAGCTGACTGCTCAAATGTTCTACACCTAAGCCACAGCAATATTCAATGCCTTAAAAACATGTTCAGGAACAAATTCTTCAGAGTCACAGGACTCTTTTCAATCTTTCTTACTGTCTTATAAAATAAGACAGTAAATTCACCATAAAGTGAATTGAGCAGTGATATTTGCAGCTTCTAAAACCTCAGTATGCCTACAGTAGTGTAAGGACAACTTCCATACTTCATCCGATTAGAGGGTAAAGAGACCTCAAAAACACTGTGTCCTGCATTTTAGAAGAAAAGTTACAATATACAAATTTCTATTACCTGTTTCTTTTTCTAAAGAATTCTAGAATTTATCAGACTTTTTTTCCTCTACTTTAACAGGTGAGTATGATTTGTCAGTATAGATTTGCAAGAGTCATCAGTTGTCCCAGAAAAATTAAACAATCTTCTGTGATATGAAGACCTTCTGGTGTTGCCATTATTTTCCTAAGAAGGAATTATTTTGGCCAATAACTGATTTGGAGTAGAATATTCTTGTCACATAAATTCTGGAATCCTTTGTCAATTGCACAAGACTTGTGTTGGATTGTGTGCAAGTATTGGTGGTTCTTTCTAATTCAAATGAGGACTGTTATTATCCAGAGATTATCTTGTGCGTTTTCAGAGCCAAGTGGAGCGGCAGTCAGAGAACACTGATGTAATGTGTGAGTGCAAAATGAGATAACAGCAGGATTTTGTAGATGCAGGCGGCAAAGAGTTAACACACATCAAACAAATTACTGTTCTCTCTCTGTTGGGCCATCACCATCACATTTCAGAACATCCTCAAATCTTTGAAACATGTTGATACAGCATTTACTTTAGGCTTGACAAGAAGGAGATCAATTTGTGGCTTAATATCTGAAGTAATACTTTGTTTTAGACTTCCTGCTATTGATCTGCTCTTGTAATTATTGTAACATTGGATTAGTGAGGAGAAAAGTATTTTCATTACAAATTGTTCGGGATCAAGTTGAATTATTGTCAGCGAGCAAAACTATATTTTTTTCTATCACTTCAAAGCTTTCTCCAGAGACTAAAGAATCTCTTTCTGAACATGGATCAAAATAACACATTCAAAATGAGATTGTAGAAAAATTAAGAGTGCAGAAATCCTAGTGGTGAGGTGCCAATATTTAATAAAATGCATGAACCTCTGAAATCTCCAGCACAGTGTAGGAGCAAGAAGGGGGCCTGGCACATTTGTCCTCCTAGAGACACAGGAGTTACATTGATTATTTTCATCAGGTCCATCTGATGAACCTACAGCTCTGCCAAACACACAGGACAAGCCAACACTGCCCCAAATGAGTGTTAGCCTCAGTGGGACAGTTCACAGGGACTGCAAAGACTTCTGCTGTCACGAAAGAGGTCTAAAAAGCCACGAACCTGAGGATTTCCTTCACAAACAAGGTGGTTGCACTGGATGTATGTTGGATCCATGTGCTGAACAGAATCATCCCTCCAGTGCTTTGTAGGACACACAAGGATGGAAGCTAACTGCACCTAGCACAAACCTGCAGTGAATCCAGTGGGACAGCACAGCAGTACTGGTAAGCACATGAGTGTGTCAGGGGAAGGGAAAACGGCTGGAAAATAATGGGGTTTTATACTGCATGTGAACACTGAGAAGAATAAAAGATGGAAAGAAACCAATAAATTAGTTTTTGCAGGATTTGCGTCAAAAGTCTTAACTTGACAGGCTCATACTTGTGTGGATAACTAGAAGCAAATAGTCATTGAGTGCAGGAGAAATCAAATGACCAAAGCAGTAAGATGGAAGATTTTGAATTCTACAAAGAGTTAATCTGCCAACCTCCTCCAATGCTGCCACTCTCCTTACCCAAGTGAGAGTGTGTAATCATGGTAAGTTATTCAATTCACAGACATGTTGTGACAGTTCATTAAAAACTGCAGGACACTTTCAACATATATAAATACCAGTAATGAAAACCATTATTAAAATTAAATGATCCTTGGAACAACATGTTACTTAAAATCCCCTCAGAATACTGTAATTTGCTAGGAAGAAATTGGCAGAGAATAGTTATTTGATGTTCTTAGGGTCTGACAATCTGGTAAGACTCCAAGATTTTATTTTCCTGCTACAAGATTTATCGAAGAGTCAGCGACAGGATGGTGTATTCTTCATTAAATATATATTAATACTCATTTCAAATTCAGCAATTGCCAGAAATGTTTGACTCAATATTAATTACAACTTCTTAAGACTAGGAAAGAACCTCTGAACTGTGTGACTAGGCATGATAATTTCTAATGGAGCCTTCATGACATTACCTAAACAGCTTGTCCAAGCAATTAAGTTACCATTTAAAAACAAAACAACCCCCCAAACAATGGTAATTAATCAAAATTCACTCTAGGAAAGGCATATACCTCTATATATTAACATCTCATACAAAAAGGAATCTCTACTGCCTCAGGCCAGTTTCTCATCCAGCATCCTCTCCTCCTCTGTGGCTACTCATGCCTTCACTGGACACAAAGTGTGCCATTTCAGTGGGGGCACTGCAATCTCAGGACCCTTATCTATAATTTTTGGTCACCAGCCAAAACATTATCTAGGAAAAAAGCTCATTTGAGAACCATTGTGCTATCTATTCTTTCATGACAGGAAGCTTGCACTGCAGACTTCCATTTCTCTTGTCTTGCATAATATAATTTTTGTCTGTTTAATTCAGAACCACAAATTACAGTAGTGCCCATACTGTTACCAGTGACACAGAATGAAAACAAAGAATTCTGTATTTACTACAGATTTGACAAAACGTTTGGTTTACAAGTCCCAAGAGAACTATGAGTTCCCTTTCTAAGTGTAATTTTGCACAAGTGCACTGCAGATAACCTCTTCTGGAAAATAACTGTTTGGGCAGCTGGAATTTACTATGATGTCATCAGGAAACTACTGTTACAATAATCCACCCATAATGGCAAAAACAGTTACTGCAACATTCATGTAATATAAAGCATCCTGCAACACATCAGTCTATTTTAGCAGGTGCAGCTTCTAAAAAGCTGAAAAATAAGACATCAGTCCTGTTATTAATATGACTTTTTTGTGTGCGTGCGTGTGTATGACTAAACAATCTGATTTAAATCTTCTGGTTTTGTTAAGCAGAACTAGGTAACACCTACTTCAGTAATGCTACTTTAATACCAAGGGATCATGCAAAGAGCATTCATAAAGATTCCCTTTCCATGTCCCACTAAAGAAAAAAAGCTTTTAAGGGAAAGCTGAAATATTAAGATAACAATATCCCATTTAATATAATTAAAAATTCACTGACTTTAATGACACTGAATGACTCGAATAGTTACGATGATATTTTTGTGTAACTGGTTCAGTCAATTTGAGGCCTTGGTTCAAGCATCCAAATGTGCATATAAAGCAAGTGTACTGATTTATCTCATTTGTTTACCTTCCTTATTTATGATTTTAAATCTATAAGAGTGTTCTAACAGTACTTTGCTATTAAATAAAAATCCTGCTCTACAATTACCACAACCATGACAGGTAAGCCTCGGGAACTATGTCCCACAGACTCCTCAGGGAGAGCTCTTGGGAGCTTTGTGGATGTTGTAATGGCCCCATGCATGGAGCTGAGTTCAAACTGTGCTGTCACTCAAAGCAGCAGTGATCCCAGAGAAGAAAATGCATGCTACAACCCAGACACAGTTGAGATAAAAGATGTCTAATATTATTTAAAAATGTAAGTAATAATAAAAAGGCAATGCCTTTAAATGTCACCAAGTTCTCCTTTATATATCTACAGATTCCATGTAGATATATAAAATAATAATTTCATCATTACAATTGCATATATAATACTTTTCCCCTGAGATCCTGCTGAGCAGGGTGATGAGAAATGTTTTATCATGTGAGCTGGCAATGCCCCCATATTACATAATTCTGGAGCTAGATTGCCAAATTTTTAAGGAAACTTCCCTGTATGTCCATCCAGGAGCCACTCTGACATTCACATTCCCACCACCCCAGACTTTCACCGTTGGGACCAAAGTCTCTTCAGAGTGGGTGACTCCAGTGACCCCAGGGGTGCCCCTCTTGGTCCCTGCACACCCCACACTCACACAGTCAGACAGGGTTTCCTCACTGGCTCAGCCCTGGGTTTCCCATGGGAGAGTCCCAGATGTCTGGAAGCCTAAAGCAATTTAATTGTGGTGCAGTAACACAGAAACAGCTCGAGCTGGCACATGTGCCTTTTGCTGTGCAAAGCCTTGTGTCCCCCACCCAGGGCACAAACCTGCAGCTCCCACTGCAGCTGCACACCCAGCCTCCTGCTGTCAGTGTATTCCTCAACAAAACGTCCTCATAGCAGGATATAAAAGCAAACCACTCTCTATTATATCTTCTATTACATTTCAAAGAAAAAATAAACTGAAGTCTAATCAATTGGTTTTAGTTTTTATAGTCCTGTGGTGGAAGGTGGTCAGTGGTAATTTCTGGCTGGCTACAAATGTTCATTGATTCTCTCTGTACAGCAAGTCTCTAGACAGTGGTCATGGATGAATATGGATTATCTAAATCCTTAGATACTGCCAGATGCTACAGATTGAGGGGTTTTTGTATCTATAGGTGAACTTCCTGCTGTAAGAAACCATCTCAAGACACTCTTCTGTTATCTGTCCCCACAATGAGCCCTAGAAAAGCAAAGCAGAGAGCAGGATGTGGGGATAGTTGGTAAACAAGAGGGGTTATGAAAAACAGATCTCCAAGGTACCAATGCTTTCACTCTCAGAAGGTTGCCAAATGCACTTAAATTGTTTCAGTGGACCAGATAACAGTAAGTCCTTCACCATTTTATCAAGGTAGCCAGGGATCAGGAAACCAAATTTGACCCTTCATGACCACAAGCTTTTATCTAACAGTGTCCAGACATTAAATAAGGGAGCAATGAGGGTGGTCTAGTTAAAATCCTCTTTATCTTATGAAGGGATCCTATCATGGATAGCTAATAACAAGGTACGCAGGAGTCAACATATCTGTGCTTGTCACACACACAGATCCTGCCTTAAATGTAGATGTCACTGGAAGAGGTATTTACTTTCCTTGCATTTAAAAGGCATAATAGGAAATTACTTAAAAATTCAGATGCTAGGCATGTTTTTAAACACACTAATAAGGACATAAGCAAAGCAAGGTTTTGCAGAATCAGTACCTTTTCAAGATGAACAAATATATTCTAACCTATGGACTCAGAACTAAGTGACAGTACAAAGCCACAGAGAGGAAAAACTCTATGGTTTTGGTCTTCATGGCAGTTTTAAGTATCCACCATTTATAAGAATTTCCAGATTCCAGCTGAGAAAAGGACAATAAAATCGACCTTTTTTCCCCCCAGCTACTGCTGCAATGCTTTTATGAGCCTTTTGAAACACAAACTTCTGTGCAGGATGAAAATGCAACATATATGGCATTTCTGAGTTTCAACATACTCTGGTTGTCCTCAAACAATATTCAGTCAATTTTTGTTTGGTAATTAAGCTATTTAAAGCAAGAGATTCCTTCCTTGCCTGCAAAGCTGTTGAAGAGTGGCTGGGAAGTTTCTGATTTCCAATGTGTTGCTCACATGAGACAGATTGCATAAAAAGAGATAGATTCTAAATGAACTTGTAGAGAAACACTGAACAGTGGGTGATGCCACTGTTAGCAGAGCTTATTTAGTAACAGACATTGCCAAAATGTTAGCAAGGGCAAAAGACTCCCAGTGAAAAGGAACCATGAGAAGTCAGCTTGGGCTACTGACGAGGTGGCATTATACCTGTCCTGCTGGACCAAGGCAACTACTGTAGTCAGAAACAGATCCTTTACAAACACTATCAGAAGCAGAGATAGTCCAAAGTGGTCCTTTCCCTGGCATGCTGCTGTAATTTCTGGCAATCAGTATCTTCCCAGTCCAAAAGGTGAGTGGTGTTCAACGGCTGGGGAGGTGTATGGGGAACAATTATTTGTCATGTCTCAGGGCATGACAAATAGCCATCCAATGACTAAAGAAGACACAGAAATTTCATCAGGAAGCAGTTTTAAAAACTGAGAAAGTGTATTTTTGCATTGTATTTATTTAAATTGTGGAAGATGGGCATAGGTTGCTTGGAGGCAAAATTAGAAATTGGGTCAACAGCAGTTAGAACTATGGAGGATACATTCAACTGTCCATGCCATTCATTAAATTATAGCTTTCTTTTGCATCACCTCATTTCACTTCTCCTTCTCTCCAAAGCATTTCATGGAAAGAATTTCAGTTCTGCCATTTACCCTCCAAGATGATCAGCTTTGCACATAAAATTCAAGATATGGCCATAAAGACAGTAAATGAACCTCCACTGTTTTCAAACCCTATTCTCAGGATTTTTAACACTGTCTGTTTGACCAGCTGCAAGATTACATTTTCAAATAACAAACACAATAGCTAAATGCTCTTTCCCAAGTATCAATAATTTACTTAAGCCCCTTCATTCTAAATATGTTTCTTTCCCCCACTTTGAACTTGGGTGGGTACTCCATTAAAATAAAGCAAAACCATACCCAATCACCACATAGGAATGTTGGAAAAAAAAAGGAAACCAAGGTAGTTTTAGAACTCCATTCTAAAAAATAATTTAAAACAAAAGATGTAAAATATGCAAGATAAACAGCCAGCTTGCTATACTTTGAATATTGCTTCCAGATGTGAGAAGTTGTAGTCAAAGAAAGGTGTGCTCTCTGTTTTTTTTTTAAATATCAGATAATGTTTCTGTGAAGTAGCTCGAGTCCACAATCTTTTCCCTTTAATACAGACACGTTAGTACTTATTGTATCTGCCATGGCAAATCTGGTCTTCTGATTTGTACAGCAAGTAATTGTGACCCTACTGATATAAAATAGGTCTTACTTCCAATTTTTCTTTCAAGCCCACATGTGACTCCATAGAAGGTATAAAAACACTAACCATTAGAATAGTAACCATTAGAAAACACTAACCATTAGAATAGTAAATGAAAATCATGCAGATATCTGTGAAAAGCTCATTAATTTTCCAATTTTAAAAAGTAACCTCTTTAAAGTTCCTAACAAATAAATATTAATCCATTCCCATTAGTGACAAATGTAGCAATCCCAAATTTATGATATGTTACATAATGTTACTATTTTGCAGCACTTTTATACTACTTCAAACATTGAGGATAAACATGATTGCTTTAACGGTGTCCCCTAAGGAACTTCAGTTAGAAAAGCACCTGCATCATCATCATCAGTAATATCATTCCATTCCAATGCTAAACTCACATCTGGTTTCACATGGAATCTGCATCCTGCTTTATATGGATCAGGTCCCTTGAATTGTGGAAGAACAGGCCGATGGCATCCCAGGCCATGGGCAGAGCCTGTTCTCTTACTGACAGCAGTGTACAACTAACAAACTGAGCTGCCCACAGATAGGTGTATCCATCTATCAATCCCTTGAGAGGTCAGACCTACAGAAGGATTGTCATTCTCAGTGTTAAAGCCAAGAAAGAGATTACAAAGTCCAGAAAAAATCACCACAACAAAAAAACCTCCACAACAAAACCTGTTAATGGCAGCAACTCTGAGATCAGACATGCCTGAACACTGTACATTTAATCCACAATTTTAGGTAAGTTGAAACCAGACAAAGTAACATGAAAAAAAGTAATACCATTAAATGGGAGAGTAATTTTAAAAGGTTCTGAAACATTTTCAGTAATTTGTACATTTTAAATTACTTTACCTTTTCTTCCAATGCCACTGCTGTTCTGCATCATTTCCCATTCCTCTCCTACAGAGATTTTAATTTAGTAGTCACAGCTGTTTATCTTCATTTATCTTGACTGACAGGTGCTCATAGTGTTATTTAATTGTACCATGTCCTGCTAAAACAACAGTAAGAACACAATCTTCAAGACAACAAAAAACAAAACAACAAAACAAACCCAAGAGAGTCTGAGCACTTAACAATTACTAAAGAGAAGTACTTTATTCACTGTAGCAGCAGAAGTCCATGCTCAATAGGGCTTAAAAGTGGAACAGGACACGAAGCAGTAGAGCCTAGAAGAGCTTAATGAAAGTGTAACTCATTAGAGTTCCCAAAAAGACCATGAGAAGGTGAAGGACTTGATAGAGAAGGATCTACATAGTTGGGGAAAAAGAAGCTTTTTACTGATCAAAAGGAACACTGATTTTCTGGTAGGAGTAAGTTGATTCTGTGTTAGAGAAAACATTGCCATTGGGGTAGCATGGGATAAAAGTTTAATGTCAATATTTAGCATACTTTCGCTGTATCAGTTGTCAGAAAATATTGCCATGTAAAAGTAGTCAAAATGGAAAATAATAGGTGAGCAGGAACATTTCTATCAGGCGTCAATAGTTAAATGAGACAGGTGCAGAGCCAGGAGAGCACAGGCCTCACAGACAAGACAAAGGGAGAGGTGAACATATCCAATTAACTAATTACTGACTGCTAAAAACTATGAGGGGCAAAGAGAGTTTCTTGCTGACAGAAATAATTTTCCATACCACAGAGGAGTCATGAGCAGGGCAGGGACCACGCCTGAGCCCTTTCTGCAAGAAGCTGAAGGAACTTGAAAGCCGTAAGTTTGGCACTGGCAAGGCTCTTCAGCCCTTCAAGCGCAGCTGAGGGGGCACCATGGAGGAGCACAACCCCCTCAGTGTGAAACACCTGGGGATATTTCTACAACTTACACCTGCCCAGGATTATTTATTCATTAACTTCGTTCTCCTCAGAGCTCCACCAAAACATAAAATTTAAACGTGCTGTTACATCTACCAGAACATAAACAGAGACTTTCAGTCTCAGACCTCAGGTGCTTTCCACCTGCACATAGGCTGGATTGCTACAGCGATGCACATGCCTTGGTGGGGTTTTCAAACTCTGTAAAGCATCGGAGGTGTCCCACCCTGGGCAGTGTGTCCGACATCGGGCAGTGTGTCCCATCCCGGGCAGTGTGTCCCACACGGACACCGTGGCCCCCACAACGGCCCTTTCCCAACGCCCCTTAACCGCGGTGCACAAGCCCTGGGAAAGGAGGGGAACCCAGCCCCACGCCCACACCCCCTCCCACACACACAGACCCCTCCAGGCTCCCACCCTCTCTCCCCACGGGCCGGTTCCTACCTGCCAGCCGTGCCGGGGCCGCGGGGAGAACGGGAGAGCAGCGGGGGGGGAGCGACAGCGGCCGCCCGTCGCCCGGCAACGCCACGGCCCCGGCACCTGGAGCGGCCTCCGGGCCCGCCCATCCATTCGTCCGTCCGTCCATCCATCCTCCCTTCGCAGCGGCTCCGCCCGCTGCCCGCGCCGGGAGGAGGAGGAGGAAAGGCTGGAGAGCCTCTCAAGGCAGGCAGGGTTCAGGGCTGGGAGCAGCAGAGCAGCGCGCTTGCAGTGGGAAAAGCGGCGGGGCAAACAGGGGGAGCAGGGGTGGGCACTGAGGACAGGAACGGAACGGGACGGGAAAGGCAGCAGGACCTGTGTGGGATTTCGGTGACCTGTGATCACACGGCTGAAGGAGGGGTTGGGGACATCTCTGTTCCTCGCAACATCCAAAACCTTTGCCGGCCGATGAAAAACTAACGACATCATCATGCACAAAGGTGATCCCACACTCCTGCAGTGCGTGCAAAAAATGCAGCTTGTGGCAGATAACAAGGCTGGTTTCACCAAATGATTTTCCATTAAAAAAAAAACCAAAAACCAAAAACCAAAAACAAAAAACCCCCCCAAACAACCAACAAAGAAAAACCCCAAAACAACCAACTAAAATCCAAACAGACTGAAATAAATTTCCAGACCAGAAATGTCAAAAGATTCGACACGTGAGAATTAAGTTTGTAATAATCTGGATCCAACAGATGTGGTTCAACTTTTGTTGGTGACATCATTAAACATCTCAGTGCAAGAGGGCAGCTCTAGTGCAGCTCTTACCATTGTCACTCACAGAATATACCTACATTTCCACATTTCAATATAGGATTCCTAAATCAGGCACCTAGGAAGATGTGATTCCTATCATATCCTCCAAGGTGCTCAGTGGTCCCACAGGAAAAGCTTGCTTTTTCAGGGGTTTACCTTCAGGATGGTCCCCAGCATTTTCTCAAAAACAGCCCTTAGCAGTGTTTCTCTCAGAGGCAGGAAGGCAAGAGGTCTGGAGGGAAGGCACAGAGTCCTGCCTGCCACGTAGTAGCTGCTGGGGTTTTGACTACACTGCTTGCATGCAATTCACCCCTTCACACCTTCTTTGTGAGGATGTGGGAGGGCAGCAGCTGCTGGTGGATTGCATCAGCATTTCCTCTATAACTACATTCAAGTTACTCTAGGGTTTGGAAAACACTTAAACCATAGGTCAGGAAATGTGTTGACTCCCCTCTTGCAGGGTCTGACGGTCAATTAACATCAGGGAGAATCACCAGGGGCCTGATTTTCCAAGGTGATGAGCACTCTCAGCTCCACCTGCTGTCATTGCAATCCAGCTGCCCATGTTCACAGGAAGGAAGGCAATGGGCCTTGACGTGCTCCAGGAAGGTAGTGTGATTCAGTGAAAACAATACTGAATCAAGCATCTGCACCTGGAATTTTATTCCCAACTCTGCCATTTTTTTCCCAGGTAACTAGCTCAAATCACCTTGACTCAGTTTCCCAACATACACCTTCTTGGGACGCTCTTCCCAAAGATTATCTGTGGATCACATGTATTATATTGTGTATGCACACATCTGCATGACAATTTTCTTCTTTTCCTTGTTTTGCTGGAAATAATCTACTTATGGCCAACACAGTCTGAACTATTCAAAACCAATTGAAGAAATGCATCTTTCCATCACTGAGGAAGAGAAAATTCTGGCACAATTTCAGGGTAGATACAGAAGCTTTATGTCTCTTTATTCAGAGTTACTGTAATTGTAAATGGCTGGCACCATTCCCAGAACTGAGCTAAGGTCAGTGAGAAATCTGTAAATTAATAACTGTGAAGCTGATGTGATGTCTATGCAGGAACCATGTTGTACATTCATGAAGCTTTATAGGAAAGAAAAGTTATGTTTCAGTTTATCCAAGAAAGTTTTAGAATCCTAGTATTGACAATTAGCATACATTGGACCTACCTGGAGACAGTGGACCTGCTTCTGATCTCACCTTCACAGGAATTCCAAAATATGTGTTACTCTGGATTAATTCCATTGGTCCTACCCAAATGAACAGGAATTGGGTGAAGCCTCCTCTGAAAGCCAAGCCTAGATAAACTTGCTTTTCCTTTGGGAGTCCTATTTTACAAGAAGAGATTTGTCTGTTCTTCTGGTTTTATTCAGTCACAAGCAACATCCAATCAATCCAGTCTATAGTTAATATTATTGATCAATAGATAATCACTGTTGCTACTTGCATAATTAACATTTAAGAATTTAATTGTCCTACAACACAGAAACACAGAACCAGAGGGAACTTTCTGGTCAGAGGAAAGTTTTCTGCTATTGCACATAACCCAGACTCATTTAGATATGTATCAGTGTCTCCCCCCTTCTGAAAGATTGTTCTAAGTGTCTGTCTAAAGATAGTTCCCCCTGTAGCCTGATCTCTTACCCTCATTAGTAGCCCCGTAATCACCTTTTTTCTTGTGAGAATCCCTTTTCCTGCACAACTAACAATTTCATAGAATCATAGAATAGTTTGAGTTGGAAGGGGCCTTTTAAAGGTCATCTGGTTCAAGTAGGTAATATAGAACAAGGATTTTCATCTCCATTTTATACAAAAAGACAAAAATCAAAACTAATCTGAGATTAAGTGGAGAACTCATCCTACAGTACTGCCACCCCCACCTGGACTGCAGTTCTGCTAGAAAATTTTCCCATCTTCTTGTATTGCATGATAAGCAGAACACTGCCAACTTTGGTAATTCTTCTGCTGGTTAAGAACCAGCAGCTACTGTAGAATTTTCAAAAAAAAAATCAGCTCAGGTCTGCAGAAACAGCTTTGAAGTCTCGACTGTGGCATTAACCTCATGATTTCACGTGATTGAAGTCACTGTGTTCAAGAGATGATGTAAGGACAGTTTCGACCACAGCAGGTGTTGAGAAGTTCATCCTCAGAAGCAATGAATGAGGCTGAGAGACTGATCCAAAGATCCGGAGGATGACAGGAGTCTGCAAATTGAATTTATTTTTCTGTTACTGCACCTGGCATGAAAAGAAAGGGCAATGAGAGAATTCAGTTAATAAAACATCTTCTCTGATTCCATGAATCTGGGAATTTGTTTTTGCTCCTTTTCAAGGCTTATTTGAATTCGTAAACTGCAATCAGAAAGGAAAGCTTCATCAGGAAACAATTTGGCACTCTATACAAAGCTGTATCTTTTCAAACTGAACTAGACCTGGAAAAACTTTTGATAACAGTTTTTAGAGAGTATTTGAACTCACACTGAAAGATGGGCATCCATAGTTTTATGTTGCCCTTGCTTCTATAAACAAGTGAACCAAACTACTGATGTCACCAAAGTTACACAGAAACCGTGTGTGGCCTTTGAAGGTGACCACACACTTCTGAGGTCCTGAGCCAGTGCTGAGTGACAGAACCTGTCTCCTCTCACTGCTGCAGGCTCGCTCAAGGAAAGTGAACACCCTCCTTGGCTTGGTAAATTTTTGGGGTACTAGAAGGCAATAAAAACACCAAGTGGTACCTTGTCCTGGTGTAGGGTCTCTTAGGGAAAAGGTGAGCTTAAGACAGGCTTCAATTGCATTGGGATATCTCTTTAGCTTAAATCCTGACTCAGCTCTGCTGGGAGGGAAGAACTCTGGCAGAATCCCACTTCCTTTAAAG